TTAAAAATAAAAAAGTTAATGATGTAAATTGTAGTGTTCCTGACACCTGAACCACTCGTTTCTTTTTCTCTCTCTATCTTCTTCTTTTTTTTTCTTTTTTTTTTTTTTCCTGAACCATTTGTTGCTGTTGTCTGCGTGCTTTACAGGTCCGGGCTTTGGTTGAAGGCCAGTTCCTGGCAATGAGAGCGCATTCTGAGGGCATCGGGATGCCCAGTCCTCCTCGGCGGATAATTGCAACAGGAGGGGGCTCTGCAAACAGTCGGCTCCTCTCCATTCTGGCATCGATATTTGGGTGCGATGTTTTCACTGCCCCGAGGCCCGGTAAGACCCCCAACCAAATTTTATCATCAAATCCCCAAACAAATTCTCATCAAAACCTACGCAAGGAAAAGGAACAGAGGTGAAGAAAATAATAAAAAGAAACAAAACTTCTATAGCCCTTCAGTAGACTTTTACAAACATTTTTTGTGTGTGTATTTTACTATTTTTAACTATTTTTACTATTTTTTTAGTGTTTTTTCCTGCCGGGGCAGTAGTTTTTTATGATGAACACACTGGTAGTTTGTTAACGAAGTCTTCGCATAGTGATGTTTTGTTATTTTGCAAGGCTACCAGAGGGGCCCGGGACCACTTGCTTGGCCAGGCCTTAAATAACAAAAAGAACCATGGTAATCACTGACCCCCGGACACCGGACCGATCCAGACGGGAAAACCAGACATCCCGCAAATCCGGACAGGCACCAGATATCCGGACAATATCGGACCCGCACTGTCCGGACAAGTTCCTGGGACCCAAAAAATGTCGAGATCGGGACTACTTCTTCTTCTTTTTTTTTTTTTTTTTTTTTTTTTTTTTGCTGCTGTAGAATCAAGGACACACTTGAGATGCGAAGTTTAGTGTAGGTAACAACACTTACCTTGTTAGAGGTTAGAGGTGCACACTGGCACATGGAATACAGTGCTACACACACAGATGGAGGTAATAGACAGCATATCACCTGCCTATCACTGCTCAGAACTTTTTTCTTCTTTTCACAGCTTCATAAGTTCATACGGTCACAGATTCAGAAAGGCTCACAGAACAACTTCAACTTCGAATTTCAAATCAGTTCACAACAACTCTTGGCGAGGTCTGGCGGCATCCGGTAGGCAGTGAAACGGCCGAAAAAAAGCGGGCCTATTTTTGGGGGGCGGCCTAGGACCCGAAAAAGGTCCTAGGTGCCCCCGAAATGTTTTTTTGAATTTTTTCCTTTTTGGGGGGCCAATCCGGACCTACCGGACCGGAGTTCGTACCTGGACCCAGACAGCCGGAACGTCTGGATCCTAGAAAGTGCAGGAAGAGCGGGGCGGGGAGGGGGGTGTACAGTGGATTTTCGTTTTTCGTTTTTCGTTTTTCTTTGTTCTCTCTCTCTCTCTCTCTCTCTCTCTCTCTCTCTCTCTCTCTCTCTCTCTCTCTCTCTCTCTCTCTCTCTCTCTCTCTCTCTTTTCTAAAGAGATCCAGGGTGTTGTAGAGCTTGGAAGCTAGACGTATGACTGTCAGATTCGGTAGTCGGCCATTTGGTTATCTAGATTGCAAGGGACCTGACTGTCCACAACTTGCCAGAGTGTATCACAATGCATGCCACGTTACCAATCACACAGATTATGAACCAACACACACAGCATAAAGTAAAGATGAGATGTGAACCAAGATGCGCAGCTCATATTATCTCCAACAAATTTTAAGAGTATCTCGAGTTCAAGAACCAACAGTGCGATAAGTCTCTCCTTCTCACACAACCGCAATGTGAGGCCTGGCTCATCCAGCGCCACCTCTCAACAACAAGTTAAACGTAGAACAGGTATGTATCCACAATAGCCAACATCATACACCTGCCCCTTCTCTCTCTCTCTCTCTCAAGATCTCTGTCTCAGTTCTCTTCTCTCATCATGCATGCACACTCCTCTACGAGAATCTACTTTGAATGCTACTCACTGAAGACTAACCACTAACCCTCTAACTACATTAACTAGTTGGGGCAGCTATGGCTGCTACTTGCAAACCAGCGCCCAGCCTTCTTCTTCTCTTAGCGCAGCTTCTCCTGTGAAGTAACCTCAAGGTGCCACAGGCACATCTAATTAGTCCCTCTTCAGCGCTGGAGCAATGTCATCATGAAGACCACCAGGTACGTATCATGATCTCTCCACGGTCCTGATCTTACTCTCCCTCGCAACCAGTCACCTCATGTCAGTAATGTGGACAATGCCACATCAGCAGACGAGACAGGTGGCATATGCCACATCATCAATGAAGACCNAATACAGAGCGTTTTCTGTTGTTTTTTTGTTTTAAATACGCTGGGTCATCAGTGTCCTCAGTCTGAAAGTATCTCGCCTGCTAGTCTGTCCAGATACATGTAGTGGAGCCACGTGCATTCTAGATAGATTGACAGAAAAATATAGCTTAGGTCCATTCTTGGGCTTGCACCTCAGACAGAGCCGAAACCCAAACCCGTAACTCTTTCCCCAGAGCTTAGTGATGTTGCAGAAGCATATAACCTCAGGAGAGCCACTGCTCTTCCATAGTAATTCCTTCGTGGCTGAGGGTGGACGAGTATGTCATGCCAATGATAACTGGTCCGTGGTCTGTCGGACCACACTATGCCAAATCAAAATGTGGGGCCTGGTGGCCCCCCAATTTTTGAAAAAACGCGCGCGGCGGTCGTTTGCGGCTGATTTGCAAAGATAAGCGGCGGAGATTCTCCGCTCGTTGTTTCCTAGAAGTGGGGCCCAAAAAGCCCCATTTTTTTTTTTTTTTGGAGCCCGCGGCCTCGTGGGGGCTGGGCAGTCATGGGGATACCTGTCACTGCCCGGTACCCCCCGTCCAGCCTAATGCGCTGGATTCAACCGGGGGTCTGCCGGGCCGGTCCGACCGGCAGGCTCCCGGGTGGGGAAGGGGCCCCTGGTCCAACCGGGGACCAGCCCTGGTTTATTGATAAATATTTGAAGATGAGTCTCACGTTTAGTACACGGGAACCGCGGGTCCCTCAAGCTTTATAAAAGGGGCAGTTGCGGAGCTCTTTGGCTATTGGTTAGTGGATGCACGCATGGACTCCTGTTGCCGTTGCGTAGTCCTGAAAGCCGAGATAAGGTTGTGGCCGCCTGAGCCGAGTGTTTTGGTGGCTTATACGTGCTAAGTGCTTGAGAGGGCGCATAGTTGTTAGAGGTGGTAAACAGAGTGCCGGAGGCTATTTTGAGAGAGTGGCTATGGCATGCCGAAAGGGACTAGAGGGCTATAAGCCCGATTGTTGGGGGCTCTTGGTACATTGGGCCTTAGCATCGTGAGAGGGCCCCTGGATCACGACGATCCTGAAATTTGACAGGGAAGATGCTAGGCTAAAAATCGATGTCGAAGGGGTTAAAGAGGAAGAGATGAGAAAGGACCAGAAGCTGCAGGCGGCGATTATAGAGGCCAAAAGCAAGGCGGAGGGAAGATTTCATTTACCGCACGACTTGAAGTTACTATCGCCTACCATGAGACAAAGACTTCAACTGGGACTATCGAGCGGGAACAACAGGAACTAGACCGTGACTCAGAGGCGGAGAGTGAGGAAAGCGACACAGAGACCCAGTCCGGGCACAGACTGGAGCAGTGGCGACGGGACCACCCGCCTACTGAGCCTGTGGAAGACGGTCCGGAGGCCAGCTCTCGATGATGAAGAAGCTGAGTTGTGAGGCAGTTACGGGCATCAGAGGGAGGGTGACGCGAATGCACGAGGTACTAGTGACGCACGTACGGGGCGGAAGTTAGACTCCCGTGAGAGGTCTATGCATGCCAAGAGGAAGTCAGACCTGAGAGAGGGAGAGATGTGCACTTCCCTGTTTGTTGTCATCATCAACTCTCATGCATGGCGTGCATGAACTCCTCGTTCATCTGTAGTGGTAATGAACGTATGGTGCAGCATTTTAAGAGGCGAGGTGCGGATGGAGTTGAGATGTGAGTTGATCAGTGTGTGTGGTTCTCCCGTGACAGAAGCGTACTTCCGCGAGTTAATGTCATCAGACTTTCTCTGGTGAGCTACTAGGGGTCTTGTTTCTGTTGACTTTAGTTTGCCAGACAGCATACGGGGTGCCATTCGGGAGGTACATTTCACTCTCACTGACACCATTTCTCATCATCGGTACATTTCACTCTCTCTATTATTACACGATTGTTCTTCTTCGTCATCTACTTTACTTGCTTATAATTACTAGTCTCTGACAGGGCATATGCAACGATCGAATGTCACTACTAACCTGAGAGGGTGGACTCGGAAAAAAGGATATCACTCTCACTAAGATGAGGAGATGTGTGAAGCAGTGTGATAGTGAACACACAACTACATCAGGTACCAGCTTTATGTGCACATGTATATGAGTTAGACTGTCTTTTCGAGTTGTGCCCGTGTGACTCTCGCAAGAGACACACGAGCAATTCACGGTTTGACGTCGTCATAGTATGAGCAAATCTCAGACTAGGATCAAGTCTGAAGGTGTCAGTCAAGCAGTTACGGACCCTGATGAATTGAGAAGGGATGCATGGTGGGCATGAGCACCAGTATCTCGTGCTTTGTTTTCCTCAGGGTGAAGTAGGAGTGTATGTACTGGACGGAGTTCTAGCTGGGATAGTGGGTACCAGGAGCTCGCTCTCGACGAAGAGTTTGAAGTCGTGAAGCGATCACGTACAGCACTAGAGTGTTGCAGTTTGAAAACGAACGAGTGGGCAGAGCAACTTGAGAAGAGAAGGTGTGTGAGCCATTCCAAGAAAAAGGTTTCGCATGAGTCCCTCGTGAGAGATGGGTATGCGTGCTATGGTTCAAGAACTCCCGCCTCTACTTGATAAGTATAGCTGATCATCATACGCATTATCCCTGTGGCTGAAAAGGTGAGAGCGGACACAACTGAACTGGATTTCAGCGGTAGACGCAAGCGTTCGGGTAAGTCTTTGTGAGGAGCAAGGAAGAGTTAACTACGGCTTAACGTCATCCAATCTCTGGCATGGTTCACGTTAACTACCATCTCGAACTCCATTGTGATAAAACGGGGATGTGGATGCGAGGAACAAGATACTAGCTGTGGACAAGACTCCTATGAAGCTCGACTGGCCACGAGGGATTTACTATTTCTACTGGTCCTTAATCATAAGCGATTGTTACTTCTATAGAGAACAAGAGGATGCCCTCCGCGACTGCGGCGGGGACCAAGAGCAGGGGAACCGAAAACACACACACACACACACACACACACACACACACACACACACACACACACACACACACACACACACACACACACACACACAC